CATTCTCTATAACAAAGAAGATTTAGCCCTCAATATCGACATTGTGTAATGCGGTGCTCTCGAATATAAGTATGTTTGTTTGAAACCACAGAGATGTTCAAAATATTCTAATACGGCATAATATAAAACTTTCTTTATTATCTTAGCGATTTTGTTTGCTGGGTTATTGGCTCGTGCGGTGAAGTGTCGTTTATTAATTTATCGCGGTGGTTAAAATGCTGCTTATATTTACATACACATTTATTTTACTAGTTATTTGAATGTAAAGATTTATTATTTGCTGTTTGTCGGAGATGATCATACATACCTACATTTTATATACATACATATGTATATATTTTGTACATGTTAACAAATTTCGATTCATTTCGTATAATTAATGAATTGGCTTGACGGTAAGAAAGTCGAATTTTTTCGGGGATCAAAGGCCACAATTGAATTAAAACACGTTTGTATTCGGGCTACACTATTCAATATTAATATGATCTCTATCACGAACAATGTAAAATTTTGCAAGCAAATAAGTTAAGGCCTTTCTAAAATAAGGCACCCACATATTTCTGTGATTCGAAAGATACTACAATTTAATTCGGCCTATTTAAAGGATAGATTTTCAAGTCACTGTGAGCTGTAAATAATATTCCAACTTTATGTGGTGAATCCCCGGCAATTAACGAGTACGGGCCATAGAAATTATTTTAATTTTTAATTTTTTCTTTCAAATTTGTGATTGCACTGCAATTAGATATGAATAATACGATTACATATCGTTGTTTAAGGTACAAAACCGCGTATCAACAAGATGCAAAACCATGCGATTGCTTTATCAAAAAAAAAGAGAACCATTATGCAATATGAGTGTTTTTACTCTCTAGAAAATAATTTATGCAAACCTCACATACGCGGTTTTTGCATTTTGTTGATACGCGGTTTTGCATTTTGTTGATACGCGGTTTTGTTGTTTAAACGACGATATGTACAAATGTAAATATGCTCGTTTGGTAAAAAATCCCATAAATCCCAATCCAAATCCACTTGTTTCAACAAGTATTTAAATAAGCACTAATGTGCGAAATTTAACATTGAACTTGCGGCAAGTTCGGTTTCAATGAGAGAAACATGTCCCGAATTTATTATAAGCCTAAAATATGTATACATACATATACATATGTGCAAAAATTAACATATATGTATATGTACATTAGAGTGGTCCAATTTTTGTACGGGAGAAAAAAATGTCATCCTAGAAAACGGGGCACCTCCTTAGTTTTTGTTTAGTTTAGTTTTTAATATCTATACCAAATTTCAGTTTTCTACTGCAACCAATACAGGGTGCTCAATGACATTGAAATGCGCTACTGGATCGCTGTGAAACTGGCTATTGTTGCCATGGCAACTGAAGCTTATGATATATTTTTCAGATAATTTAAATTTGAAATGTTCTTAGTTTCTTAACCAATTGTTTGATTAATATATGTATGTACCCAATACTTCTAGAGTAAAATATGAGCATCCTCTAAATGGATACTTCGAAACGTAAGGTTTTGTATCAGCACCTCTTTCGGCAAGAGGAAAACATTTTTTTTTTGGACCACTCTAATGTATGTACATACGTGCACAAAAAAAAACTGTATGAGTTGTTCATGCATGACTCTTTTTAGTTACAGCCCAATCTATGTACATACATACATACATACATACATATGTACATACATTAAACCGTATCACAAAAAAGTTTCATTTGTTCCAAACTGTTTTAAGCACTCCCAACGGAAGTATTTTAGCAGTGTGAAATTTTATTTTCTTTAACTTCTGTATTTGATGTGCGATTTCTATAAATGGTATAAAAAAGCCTATCCTAAAGCGATAATCCTATTATGCCAAACTAAAAAGTAAATTTTTTTTTTTGAAAACGGTGGCCTGTTATAAATAGTAAGAAGCTTAAAAATATACTCAAAAACCGTAGGCTTTCTTAATATGTACCTTTACTATGGCGTATCATTTATAGAAATGAAAAGTACATAGAATAAAAAGGTTATAGGAGAAAACCAATTTAGCAGTTTTTAAAGGGTGCCGAAAAAAAGACTTTACACTCCTGAAATACACGCTTGGTGAGTGTTCAAAATCTCTTAGAACAAATCCAACTTTTTTATTTTTTCCCATACATCGTGATGTGGTCTAATGTACATAGATACTTACATACATATGTATGTTTGTATATACATTAGGGTGGCCCTTAAAAAATTAAATTTTAAGTCTCACCCCCTCAGTCGCTAATACAACGGTCAAAGATATCACATATAAATTTTAGTCCCGATTGGAGACGGTTAAGGCGTGTCGCACAGGGGTCAAAGTTCAGATTCCCCTATGGAGACTCAAAAAATTTAAATTAATTTTTCATTTTTCATCTTACCCTACTCAAATCGGGACCAAAATTTATGTGTGATATCTTTGACGCTAGTAGTATCGATTTTGGGTATTAGATGAAAAAAATATTAATTTTAATTTTTTGAGTCTCCATAGAGGAATCTGAACTTTGACCCCTGTGCGACACGCCTAAACCGTCTCCGATCGGGGTCAAAATTTTTGCGTGATATCTTTGACTATATTAGCATCGCTGTGGGGGTTGACGTTTAGGAAATCTGATGTAATAATGTACTTAATACATTTAAGGACCACCCTAATATACATATTTGTTTGCTTAAGTATTTAACTATCGCTACCGCGCGAGTGCTAATATTTACATGGAATAGGTATGTATGTATGTATTTGTAAGTATTTTTATGCGTAAATATGTACAAATGATTTTTAATTTTTTCTGTGCATCGATTTGGAAATAAATATTCAAAACCAATTATCAGCGATTACCTGCTGTCATCGGTGGATAAACGAAACCGGAACAAAGCGTACTGTGTATGATCCTACTAAGAATTTAAAACAGCAAATATTTAATCTTATTTTATTCTATTTGCAATCATGTGTATGTATATATACATACATACCTTAACATCTTCTAGTACACTGTCCTATTTTTTCATGTTATCTATGTAGATTGTAAATTATCTGGGTATAAATCCCAGACCATTAAAAAAAAACTTAAAATTAGCAAATACAAACCAGACACAGACAAGTA